CCCTGAGTTCAACCCAAGAAGCAACATTTTGTAAGAGTCTGTGTGGTGATAACAGAATCAAATATATATGATTGCACATGCGTGTGCGTGGGTGTGGGCGTGCATTTGTTGCGAGGGAAGAGCAGGACGATGGCAAGTGTTACGAAGATTAAGAGTCTAGTGAGTACAGAAAAGGACCATAGAAGACATATATTTATTTTGATACTTTTAGTAAAGAGCATCTAGCATAGCCAAAGCCCTGATTCTAACCAGTGAGAAAAAGTGAAATTGAAATATCTTCTGCTAAAAATCATCCTTGAGCCTGATGCCACTGTAATTTCTGCCCTGTCTCTAAGCTTTCTCAGCCCACTTCCTGTAAGGTTCCTTTGCTTTGCCATGTCGTTTATTATAATCAGCTGAACACAGGTCTTTTGTTCCGCCCACTTTTCTGACGTTACCCTGGCAAGTCACTATCCACCTGCCAACTGCTTAAACAGTTTCTTTCATTCCTGAGCCTGTTCTTCATACAGCTGACTGCTTCTTCCTTGGAATTCCTCCCTCAGCTGCTCTGACACAGCAGCTCTCTGCATTGGTTCCTACCTCTCTTTGTTCATTTGTGGCCTTTACTGTGGGCTCATCCTACCAGACTGGAAAATCTTACGGAAGCCTTCCTGGAATTCTTCTCTGGGTCTAGTGCTCCTCTCACTTTCCAGGCCTTTCTTTACTCAGGCTAATGGCTTCTGGGCATCCATATTTACAGTTTTGATGCCAATCTCCAGTATCTTCCCACTGATATACCTCCTGCCACTTGTTGGTCTGTCCTGTAGAGTCTTATAGCAATCAGAACCCCAATACATTAAAAAGTGGGAGTGGGGTTATATCTTAGTGGTAGAGTGCTTGCCTAGTACATGCAAAGCCCTTGATTCAACCCAAACACTGCAAAAACAAAACAAAACAAAACAAAACAAAACAAAACAAAACCAAAAAACTGAAGGGACTCACCCTGCTCTTCCTTCTCTGGCTTCCCTAAACCAACTATGCTATAGTGTATTTTATACCAGCTGTTGGCATGATCATCTACCCAATTATTCATGCCATAAATGGAGGTGTCAAACATCAATTCACTGTTTTTCTTCAGCCTAGGCCCAAAGTCACCAACTTCTGTTAATTTTGCCTTCTAAATAATTCCCTACTCGACCCCTTTTTTTTTTTAAACTAACTCCTACCACAGCCTCAATTTACATTTAGATGCAAAACTGCAGATATGAGCTTTCTGTACACAACATTCTACACCTCTCTTACCTTTCTAGCACCGGAGGAAACAAGACTCTGGGTTCACTTTACAGTCAGGCCTAATGTGAACCAGCTCTGCTTTGCTCTGAGCCCACCAAAACTCTATTTAGTATTTACCTAAATTCTACCATTATCCCAGATCTTAGAATAACTTTGTCTTGCCCATTGTTTGATAAGATGTCCCATGTTTCCTTTGGGATATGATCTGTTTACTGCAACAGGCCAACAAACTTAATTTTGATAAATACAGGAACTCTTATGCAACAAAGCTAGAACAATTAACACCAGCAACCTTTCTTTTTAAATTCATTACTAAAATAGGACAGATAGATGTTATTGAGCAGAGATCTATATATAATCAAAAGCTAATGTACACCTATGATAAATAGAAGCATTCCCACTAAGGTTAGAAACATGGAAAAAAAACTTTGATTACTACCAGCCTTATTTTACAGTGGTTGGCTAATCCAATTATACAATAAAACTAAATAAGACTGCACATATATATTTGCAATGCTAGGGATTGAACCCAGGGCCTTATTCATGCTAGGCAAGTATTCTATCACTGAGCTACATTCCCAGCCTAAATGTAATACTTAAAGAAATATTATGATTATTATTACTCTGGTAACTGTACATCAAAAATATCCATAAGGACAATAAAATATTAAATGTAGTAAAATAAAATTCAGTAAAGTGGAAGGAAAAATATAAAATAATCTCCCTCATATAAATAATAGATAATTTTTAAGAATAAATAAAATGTATTATTTAGTAAAATGATAAATGCTACATCTAAAAACCATTCAAACCACAATTAGGAAAGTAAAAAATAATGTAAAAGACATTGCCTTGGATTGAAAGACATGATTTTGTAAACATTCCCATTCTCTCTAAATTAATCAATATACACATTTTTTTAACTTGAAAAAATGATACTAATAATCAAAAAATAAAGTTAGATAAGAAAAATTTTGAGGAAAGCATAATGACAATAGATGAGCTAGCTCTTCCAACTATTAAAAGGTATGGTAAGCTCCTAGCCATGGCTTTGGCAATGATATTTTTGGGGGATGTCACCAAAAGCTCAGGTCACAGAAGCAAAAACAAATAAATGGTTCTACATCAAACAAAAAGATCTTCTGCCCATCAAAAGAAACAATGAGAATAACAAAATGGCAGCCTGTGGATGGAGAAACTATATTTTCAAATCATGTATCAGATAAGGGATTAATGCTAAAATTTATAAAAGACTCATACAACTCAATTGAAGAAAAACAAATAGCTTAAATAAAAATAATGGCCAAATGGCCTAAATAGTTATTTGTTCAATGAGGAGAAACTGGTATGTAAAATGCACACAATATTGTTGGTCATCAGATAAATGCAAATTTAATTCACTGTGACATACCGCCTCACACCATTAGGGTGACGATAGTATTAACAAAAAATCAAAAGATGACAAATGTTGGTGAGGGCGTGGAGAAAAGGGAATTCTGCACACTGCTGGTGGGAATGCAGATTGGTATACACAAAATAGAAAAGAAAGGTCATTTTCATTCCGGTGATTTCTTCCTATTGGGCTTATAGCTTCAAACCCCCTCTTATTAAGGTCCTTAATTCACTTATTGTCACCCTCATCTTCCCAGTTACCCACAGGAATTGAGTAGGCTGCAACTGTGGTTGCTCTCCTACTTAACTTACCACAACCATCTCTTTTTTTTTTTTTTTTTTTTTTTTTTTTTTGTCTTTTTGAGACAGGATCTGGCTCTGCAGTTCAGGCTGGCCTTGAGCTCACATTGTAGCCCAGGCTGGTCTTGAACTCACAACAATCCTCCTGCCTCAGCCGCCCAAGTGCTGGGATTACAGGTGTGCACCACCATGCCTGGCTGCCTCTATCAGGATCTATATAGTGTAACTTCCTTTCCATACTTACTTTTGTTTCTGTATTACACTTCGAGCATCTTCCCCACATACTACAAAAGATCTCAGCTGGTCTCCTTGCCTGTAGTCTTTTCTCTCTTAAGTTACAGTTCTCCCTAGATTTGCCAATTACCTCTGTCACCCTCAACTGAAACTTACTTCTGAATAAACTCTAGGCCTCTCAGAAAAGCAAAAATGTTTGATTCCTGCCAATCTTTCCAGCTACTTACATGACTGTTCTAATGAATTCTTACAGATTTTTAACTGACCATTCAAATCCCAAGGCCAAACTCACAGCCAGAATTCTTTATATTTCCTCCGTGTTCTGGTTTTCCAATCTGTGCCTAAATCACACCTCAACCTTCCTTCACATCTGTTTCACTTCCTACCGGATGAAATACATCTCAGCCTACTCTGCCACACTAGCACGGGGGAGTCTCACTTACTTCCTCTCTCTGTCCAATTCCTGTGTTGTGGACTTGTGCTGAAAAGCGGAACCGCGAGTAATGAACTTCCTGTCTTTCTATCACACTGACTGCCACGCTGCTACCAAGTCACGCCAACAAATGAAATCACATGTACCTTTTAAAACAGCTACACCTGCTTCATACAGAGACGGCAAATGTATAGCCTCTAGGCTGGCAACTTCTGACCCAGCAGAAGTGTTTTAACTGGGCTACAAGCTTTCAAATGTTTTTCAGTTACCTGCCAAAATTTTAAAAATGGAAAATGTCCCATAAAAATTTCCCTTTATGGCTTCTCTTCAAAAACGGTAGAACTGATCATCCAGGTGCTACAATACACATGGCTGAATAGAATCTGCCTCCTTTTGGCAAGAATAACCTCTGCAGTTTTTTACTTTTATTTTTTGAGACAAGGTCTCACTATATAGTTCAAGCTGACCTTAAACTCACCAGCACAGGCTGGCCTCGAACTCTGGGGATGCTCCTGCCTCAGTCTCCCGAACGCTGGTCTTACAGACATAGGCCACCATGCCAGGCTCTGGGCTGTTTCCTTTAAAGCAGTCATTTTGAGTTTTCAGCCCTAGGTGTACCCTTAGGAACAGTGAATCACCACGTTTCCTGCACCTTAGACTCATTTTCTCGTGTGTGAGGCATCCTTTTCCCTTTAACCGCCTATCCGGGCTGACTCGTCCTTCAGGAAGAACTCAGCTGGTCTCCAGCAGCTTTTCATCGCGTTTGTGATGGATTCGGCACGCCTTGGGTTCTCCCACAGCACGCAGCACACCCCGCGGTCACATCCCTTGCCCTGTTATATTCAGTTTAAATGTGTGTAGGGATGCGGGAGCTCCTCGCAATCTCATCTCACGTAGAGATCCACTGGAAATCCTCGATGGAAATTGCAAGAGCCTCTTCCTTATTCCATTTCATCGTTCTCTCAACAGCCACAAAGAAGGCGGCAAACCCAGCTGCGTGCCACATGCCTGGTTACCTCAGCACTCTGGGAGGCTGAGGCCGGAAGTTCGAGCCCAGCTGGCTAATTTAGAGCAACTTTGCCTCAAAATAAAAAAAAAATTAAAAGTGTTGGGCATGTAGCTCCTAGGTTCAACCTCCAGTACCGCAAAAAAGAAAGAGAGAAAGACTGTAGGAGGCAAACAAACGACAAATATCAAAGAATGAGAGTGTTTCTCATCTAATAATTCTGTCTTTCTGGTTTTAGAGGCGCACGATGCGCCCGCGAACTACAACTCCCATCAGGTACTTGGCAAGCTCGCAGCTCCAAGGCGGGAACGCAGTTTAGGGACTACCACTCCCATGATGCTCCGCTTCCCGCGCCTGCGCGGAACCTAGGGCCACGTGGCTTTTTCCGCCACCGAAGACCACGCACTTCACCCATGGCTACTGTCGACTCCCGGCGTGTAGGGGATGGCGGCGCTGCAGGGGGCACCTTCCAGCCCTACCTGGACTCCTTGAGACAAGAGCTGCAGCAGAGGGACCCGACGCTGTTGTCAGTAGTGCTGGCGGTCGCCGCCGTGCTGCTGACGCTGGGTAAAGAAGCGGTCGGTGGTTATGCGGCTGCGGGGCGGGCAGGTTCCGGGCTTCGGCGCGCTTGGAAAGGCCCCGGATGAACACCTGGGCGACATCTGGATTGTGAGGTTCACCTCCTGTGCCCCCCGCGCTCTTGGTGAAGCGGCGGTGGCAGCGCTGCGTGCAAGCGGGCATTGCGGGCGACCCTCGGGTCACAGGGATGCGGTTACCCTTCTTGGTGCCCGCCGTGCCTGAGCGCGCGGTTCCTCCCCTTCCACTCCTCTTACTGCCGAGACTCGCACGGTCTCTGCACCCACTTTGAGCTTCCTGTGTTTGCGAGGTGGGCTCTGGGGGCACACACAACTCAGGGTATCCACATTCTGGGTATGGGGTACAGAAAAGGGTAGGGGAAGTTGAGAATTGATAGTGGCCGGCACTCCGGAGGGTTCCTAGCTACAACAGTAACGGTTATAATGGTGGTAATCAAAAAGTAAATCGGATGCGGTGTTTTGTCCTTAGGTGGCTGTTAGTACCATTGATTATCAGCGCATAATTTTGCCGTCTTTTTTTCTTTACAGTGTTGTGGAAGTTCATCTGGAGCAGAAAGAGCAGTCAAAGAGCCGTTCTTCTTGTGGGGCTTTGTGACTCCGGGAAAACGCTGCTGTTCGTCAGGGTAAGTGCTGTGATTTACGGTACATCTCTTTTAACCGAAAAAATAATGGCATCCCAGTATTCGTGTGATCAGATATCTCATTTGGTAAAAGAAATTTATGCGGACAAATTTGGGAGTTAATTCTTGACTTAACCTGTGAGGACAAAAAGAATCCTGGAAAATCTGTGAGCCAAAATTATTTCTTTTTGCCCTGCATTTAGTCTTTATCACAAAGGTTTTATGTGTTTTGTGGCTAAGGGTGGCAGAACAGTTGGAGACACAGAAGCCAGAGACATACATACAGTTTATAATTTGGGGGTAAGAAACCCTTCTGAGAATTTAACAGGATTTTTTGTTTGGAAATATTTTAAGATTTTGCAGTCTTTCAGATTTGGAATATTTCCATAGATTTTTTTTTTCCTCCGGTTTAGCATCCCTAATCCAAAATCTGACATGCACTAAAATATGACACTTTAAAAAACAATATATATTATTCTTCATCATAAAATATGTTATAAATTCTGTATAGCCTTTTTAGAATGCGTTTTGTAAGAGTAGCCAAGCTGTGATTGCAGTTGGACCATTATTTGCAAAACCAGTTGCATCCCAGTTTGCAAGATTCTTTTCCAGTAAATTTATTGTCATTAAGTCTGATAAGTGACATGAGTGTTGGTCGATATTTTTGTTTGTGTTCACAAGAAGGATGAAAATAACAAATGAAGATGGATGTCAAACTTTACCCATTTAGCAACGTCTTTGCTGAATCAGATAATACTAGGATACTTTTTAGTTTCTTGCGCCGTAGGCACAATAATCTTTTAAGTTTAACCTACATTACTAACCTTTCTTCATCACTTGTAAAAATTTAAACAACTGAAAAAACAATAAATGAAAGCCTGAGTCAGCTGTTGCTGATTGTGCTGTAATACTCCCAGCATGGTTCCAACAAGTTAACAGTTCAATTTTGTCAGACTTTTTTTAAATAGATAACTTTTTTTGTTGTTGTTAACATTTTAGGCTCCTTTTCATTAATATTTATTTTTAATGTATTCAGTACTGAGCATTTTAGTATTTTTGAGTGTTCACTTTTGAGTATGTATTTTACTGTGGAGAAAAGAGGTTTTCTGGTTTTTAATCTTCCTTTGGAGTAGAGATACTATTTTTCTAGGCACAAAAGAAATATAATCTTGAGTCATTTTTGATGGTTAAGAATGTTTACAGAGGTCAGTAAATTTAGCCACTCACCATGGTTTGAAAAGAATATTGTTTTTGTTTTCTCTGAGGAGAGATGAATGAAATTTGTAGTTAATCATATTTTTGTACAGGCTAAAAACGCCCAACATGATCCTTTCCCCTATTATAAGCAGCATTCATTTATTTGACCTTATCCTTGGGAGAATTAGAACATTATTACTCAAGTTAGGTTTGCTCTTACTGTAATATGTTTACTCTGATCGCTTCCATCTTGTTGTCTACAGCTGTTAACAGGCCATTACAGAGACACGCAGACCTCTATTACTGACAGCTCTGCTGTGTACAGAGTCAACAATAACAGGGTAAGATGTTCCTGGAGGGCTGGAGTCTGACGCTCCTACTTACTGCGGCATGTCAAGACAGGACATTCCTAGAATGAATTAGTGAGGTTTTAGGCACTATTAGTAGCTTTATCTTTGTGAACATACTCTATATGACAAATTTTACTCTTGACAATATATGCAGCAGATTTAATTATGTGTACCTTTGTTATAATTTATATACAATAGCATTTCATCACATTTTATTCTTATATTTTGTTTTTTCAACTTTGCTATTCTTCAGAATCAGCGTTAAGCCTCTTTATTTTCTTTTATGTTTTAAATAGGCAATATATGTATATAGGACAAAAATTTTGGAAAATAATTTTTTTTCTTGGGTCTGTCATTTAGTCTTTTCCTCAGAAGCATTAACTGTTCATTTTTTTATTGCTGGTTGTGGTGGCACACGCCAGTAATCCCAGCATTTGGGAGGCAGAGGCAGGAGGATCATTACAAGTTTGAGACTAGCCGGGGCTACAGAGTGAGCACAAGGACAGCCCAAACAGCATAGTGAGATCTTGTCTCAAAAGGACCAGAACAAACAAACAAAAGAAACTTAATTTTTTGTATATAATTTTCCAGATGTTCTGTGGATATATATATATATATAGCATATCCTTTAGTTTTTCTTTTTTAACACACTGTTCTGCCTGCTATTTTTTCATCAAACAGTGTGGCTGCTACAGCCTGGCTTTTTTTTGTCCTATATTTGAATGCAGTACTATCTGGTTGATTTATGAACTATGTAGTTAGTATTCCATTGTGTGGCTGTACCATGGAATTAAATTTTTATTTAATTAGAGACTTACTAATACTTAATTTTGTTTGCATAGTTTATATTATTTGCTTTTACAGTGTTTTGGTTGGTGATGTAGAGTATATATTAATACATTTCAAAAATACCCATAAAGTATTGTGAAAAAACATTTTTATGTACCTCTGTAGCTCCAGAATGTAGACATCGACCACGAAGTCCATTAAAATGTTGTATGAGTTTTGGTGATTAAATGAGTGAGGGCTAGGTAGCTGATTGGAGGGGTGAAAGGATAGGTGAAAGCATGAATTAAACTATGATCTCTGCCCCTTTTTCTTGTGCTTTCCCCTTTCTGGTGTCTCCAGAGTTAAATATTGTAAGCAAAGATAAAGGAACATCCACTTAAATGTCTTGGGGACTTTTTTTGTTTTAGTTTTTGTTTTCAATGATGGTACTATTTTTCTGGCCCAGACTTTTTTAAATTTCCAGGGATTTAGATTTTGAAACTTCACATTTGGGAGATCATTAATTTTGGGAATCACTGTAGCAGATTTTTTAACTTGGGTATTCCAGGGTATACCTTAGACCTTTATCTTACAGTACATACAAGGTCATGTGTACCTATTAAACACCTGAAATAAGATGTGTCCAACTAGGGGTGTGCTGTAAGTGTAAAGTACCCACCAGATTTTGAAGAAATGATAGGAAAAAGAAGGACATAAAGTATTAATAATTTTTTATTACATTATTAATTTTTTGGATATATTGGATTAAATAACTTGTTAAAATTCACTTCACTTAATTTTTAAAAATATGTTTACTAGGAAGTTTAACATTGTGTATGTGGCTTGTATTATGTTTTCAATGAATAGACAGAACTTTGCTTCCTTCTTTCATCACTCTCTCACCCTTATTTACTTATATATCTTCTAATTTGCTAATACTGCAGGGTACAGTGCTTTTGCGATTGAGTAGGAAGCCCCAACTTGGAATCTCCAGACTCTCACCAGTATTTTTTTAAAAAGGCTAGTAGGTGTTTTTGTTTGTCTATAAAGAACTGCCTATGGTGTCTGAAAGGTCATAATCCAGTTGTGATTATATCAAATTTGTACACGGTACTGATTTCCTCCTGCTGAACCATGATCATGGTTGGCTCTAAGGTAAACCTGAAATGAGAAGTGACTGATGGGTCTCACACAGGACCAGAGTCACATGTAAGTCTCTTCATGTAGTGCAGCCACATATGCACTGATCATTAAGTTGAGAATAAAGGCCTAGCTATCAGACCTAAAAGGATGCATAATGGATTCCCTCCATAGATGGTCAAGAATTGGCACTGCCAGGCATGGTGGTGTATACCTGTAATCCCAGCTACTTGAGAGACCGAGGCAGGCTCATGATTCCAAGTCCAGCTTGGGTAGCTCAGACCCTGTCTCAGAAGAAAAAGGTCTGGAAATGTAGCTCAGTGGTAGAGCAGTGGTAGAGTTCAATTGGGAAAACACACACACACACCCCTCTGCCACAACTGACACAAAATATTGACAGATTTGGAACAAATAAACAATGTGTCTAGTAGACACATATTTAAAAATTAAATTAAGGGTAGAAATGATGAAAGGATGCTTTGTTGTCAGAATTGAGAATCCCAATGACAACATGTGCTGTCAATTATTAAGTTCTTATTTCAGTTTGTTTAATATTTATCATCATTTTTACATGTTTTTGCTTTTACTCATCCTGGTATATATCTTCCAAGCCTCACAGGGACCACTTTTCCCTGACTTCCCCAGAGACAAGTTTCACAGTACCCTGAGAACATTTAATAAAGTTGTAAATTCATAAGCAGTTTTACATTGGATTCATGTTAGGTCAAGAACCATGTCTTTGCTCACTGCTTATACCCTGGAGCTTCCAGTAGTGTTTTGTCATTATTTATTCCTATACTTGATCTTAGCCAAAAGGCCGAGAAGCGATTGTCATTATTTATTCCTGCTGGTGCTAGAAATTAAACGCAGAGCCTCGTGCGTGTTCGTTAAGTACTTTGCCAATGCAGATACATCCCCAGCTTTTGGCCAGTGTTTTACTAGAAAATGCTCCATCGACATGTTTAGTTCATTAATTACAGTGAATATTTGATTCATTCATTAGACACCAGATTCTCTAACCTGACACTAAAGGTTTACATTGTAAAGATGGAACTGGACTGAAACACTAATTAATTATTTTTGCTGCCATCCTCAGGGCAATAGTTTGACCTTGATTGACCTTCCTGGGCATGAAAGCTTGAGGCTTCAGTTCTTAGAGCGGTTTAAGTCTTCAGCCAGGTGAGTGGGAAAGAAGCGAAATGTGCTTGCTGAGCTCTCTACGTCCTGTGTTGAGTTCACACGTAATGGGGGATTCTGGAGTCAGCATGATGTTACCCTGCAAGAGTGCACATGGACCTGAGGTCAACCATTTCTGGGTTGCAAGCCCATCTTTGCTAGGAGTGTGTGAGATAATGCTTAAGGAACGTTTTTCAGAGTGTGGGAAGGGTTGCTTATTATCATCATTATAAATTTTTTTACCCTAGAAATGAGTTTAATGATATGTAGGACTATTAAAATCTGAGAAAAGAATTTTAAGGCTTCAGTAGATCCTGGAAGCGATTAAACAGTATATGTAAGTCTTTTCTTAAATTACCTAAAATGGATACCTCAAGAAAGAGTGCATAATATTTTCATATTTTAGCATCTGCCATTGTATTATTGACTCTTAAAATTCTTTCCTAAAATTCCTGTGCTACAGTTTCAGATGCTTTCTTCAACCTGGATGAGGATTGAGGAGGGAAATTTGTATACCATATCAGTTACTTGAGGACACATTTTAACATCTCTGAATTGGGAATGCATCTTACAGTTGATAGATGTGATAGTTTAATTTGGCAGTATTTTCCCTGTCTTGGCAGTGCCTAAAATAATAGTTTGTTTTTAACTGATAGCATCTTAGATTTGATGGAATGAGCTAATTGGTTCTTTACTTTTTGATGAACATGTGTAGATTTAGATTTTTATTTTTTTATTGCCTCTTTCCCCACAAGGGGGTGGTGACGAGCAATTTGCCACAGATAAAAATGTGACTGTTTCTTTAGACAACTGAGACGAATGTAGGACTGCTAAATTTTGCCATCCATGGATGTTAATTTCCCATTACAGTTTTTTTTTTGTTTTCCTGTTGTCAATTCTAAATATTTTGCGGTTTGGATTTTAATTACTGTCTGAAGTATTTGGGGGGAAATAGAACATTGGAAATATGAAGGTAAGTTGAGTTCGAAGACATTTTAATAACAATACATACATACTGAAAAGGTGTTTCCTATATTGGTATGGGACTCTTTTTATTTCTACCTTCTGGCTTAATCAAGTTTCCTTAATCTCTGTGGTATCCCTTTACTGGTCTGAAAATGTTATTTCTCTCCTTTTCATGATTCTCCCCTACTCCTTTACACACTGCACATCAGTATAAAATAAATAATAGTTTCCTTTTCTTGAACCTTGCAACACCTTTTATGCTTCTTTTTAATCACAACAATTGTGAATTTTTTCTCTTACGTGTTTGCTTGGATTTATCAGCATATTTATGATTTCGTTGTTCTTTTTTGAAATTCTTTCATTCTACTCCTTCCTTTTAGGTTATTTTTCACAGTATATCTTTTAGAAATATTTCAGACAGAGTGACAAGTAGTAACTTTTCTTATCCTTTTTTCAATTGAAATTGTCTTTGGGGTATTTGGCTGTCATTTTTGAATGACAGTTTAGCTGGTATAAAGTCTGAGGTGGCAGTTCTGTCTGTGGTCACAGGGAAGGCAGACTCCCGAACCTGTTGTTATCGAGGAGCATGCTGTTGCCAATCTTACTGTCCTTTATTTATTTATTGCCAGTCTAATTGTCATAGGTAATCTCTGGTTCTACTTTCTGTCCAGGTGAAGACTCAGCTTTGTGATGTATGGAATTCAAGTGTGCTATGCTGGACCAGATTCACATCTTTCTTCAATTCTGGGAAATTCTCGCCGTTATCTCTTCAGATGATGTTTCTAAGAGATAATATTGTTTTCCCATTCTGAGTTTCCAAATCTTAGACATCTGTTGACTTTATTGAACTTTATCATCTCTGTCCTTGTCTTTTCTGTACCATGTTTTCCAGATTGTGTTAGCTGAGTGTAACCTTCGCATAACATTCTCACTGAATTACTAACTTTTTTTATTCTTCTAATTCAGTTGCCTTCTGTGATTTCTCTTTCTTCCATTTAGGTGCCAGTAGTCTTCATAAGACAAAAGCATAAACTAAACTGGCCAGGGTGTCACACCGTGTTGCTGTCTGAGGTGGTTCCCTGCTTTCCCCATCTCCCAATACCTGCTTGCCTTCATTTCTCCAAGGTGTACTTCACTTGTTTGGACTCAAACATACCATTTTCCAGAGTCTGCCTTTGGCTAACTGAAATCCAACTCTATGGTTATGTCTTCCTTTAAGTCTTCTTTGACCTGGTATCATTTGAATGACCCTCCTCTTTGTTCCTGTTACTCTCTACTGGCCGTTATACAGTTTTCTATGACTTCTGTGTCTTTAAGGGCAGATATCATTTATTGGTGTCTTTTTGGCCTCAGTTATTGATTCCTAGTAGCACTTGAAAGTTCTTTGTTGTAAGCAGTGTTGTGTGGTGTGAATACGTGTACACAATCCTGGGTTCGTATTTGTTGTGTATCATTCACCAGGATTGAACTTTAAGAGATTAAGGGTAGTTTTTCAAGGTAATGATTCCGTGTGAAATGTTCACATGCCTGTTTTTTTCCCTCCCTCCAGGGCTTTTGTGTTTGTTGTGGACAGTGCCTCATTCCAGCGAGAGGTGAAAGATGTGGCTGAGTTTCTGTATCAAGTCCTCCTAGACAGTATGGGTCTGAAGAACACACCATCATTCTTAATAGCCTGCAATAAGCAAGGTGCTGTCATGTTTCCTGGCAGTAATGATTGAGTTTTTTGGGGGAGTGCTACTAAGCATTAGTTCAGTACCTATACTTGCCATTATTGAAGATGGACATAGTTGTAATGAACTGTAATTTGAAGGATTTTCTGAAAATCTATTTTTGTTCCTACCTTTTCACTAGTCTTAAGGATTCACAAGAGGGACTATTGATACAGTACTTTTTATTATTTTTTTAAAGTTTATAAATTATTTTACTTTTCAAAATTAAATTTGCCAGAGTGGACAATATGTCATGTGAGTACACAATTTTGGAGGAAGAGGATGGAGTCTCTCCTTCCAAACAAGTTTACCATTCAGCAAATTTTAACAAGGGGAGTTTGTTTCCCTTTAACCTGATAACCACTGAGAAGTTTCAAGTCATAGCCGATTAAAATGGGTTTCAGTTCTGTTACCAGTAAGCTAAATAGACTAGTCAGTCTTTTCAGGTCTCTTTCATATATACACTTGTGATTCTGTGAAGAACTCAAAGCATTTCTCAGAATTGATCAGATAATAATTACACCTAAAACCAAGGGTGCACTTGATATCATTACCAACCTTCCATTTCTCTTATTAGTATAAGAAGGGAGTTAATGTTTATCTGGCCTGGGCTTTTTGTCAGACTAGGCTCATTTCTTACCAGTGGTATACTTGATCATAACATACCCTCTAGTTACCAGCTGGAATCATGCTGAGGTTACTTTTAAAGGACAGGCAGGGTATCATCTGTTGCAAAGAAAGTTCTTACTACATTCACATTGCTGATATAGTTTCTTTACTGAATGAATATATATATATATATTTTTTTTTTTTTTTTTTAATTGAAAGGTGTGTAAAGCATGGAAAACCTGTTTAAGGATGTAAGCATAAGTTTATAAACATTAATATAGAAGGAAATAGTCATAAAAGCTTCCTTTGAAAAGGAATGGGAAGAAACTTACTGGTTTAAATAGTAATTTTTTTGTTTTATAGTACCAGGAATCAAACTCAGGATCTTGTGCTTGCCATGCAGGTGCTATGCCGCTGAGCTAAACAGTAAAATATAGTAATTTTTCTTTCTGTGCAAGAAGTCTTGGAGTGAGACTTACTTTGGTTTAAATTAAAACAACATTTTTATTTCTTTATAGATATTGCAATGGCAAAATCAGCAAAGTTAATTCAGCAACAGCTTGAGAAGGAACTGTAAGTGTGAATGGAGACTCTTTGGATAAATACGTTTTAACACTCAGACCCTAAGGAGTATATTCGTGTTTCTTTTGTTGGTTGTATGTGATTATCAATCACAATTACAGTCTGTAAACTAGTGTGAAATATACTTAATAAGTAATTAAAAGAATTAATGGAAGTATAAAAAGTGCTAATGAGATGTTCATAGATATTTTAAAATTTCATGCAAATCTTTATTGAAATCATTGGTTCAATTTATTTTACCACTGTTCAAAGGTTTTACAAACTAAGTTGAAAACAGTGTTATTTCAATGAATACACCTGTGCATCACTCCGAATGCATGTAAAAGTGTTTAGTGATGCATAGAAAAATAAAGAAAACTAAATAATACTGGAGAGTCAGGAAAAAAGAAAGTAAAAGAATTTGAAAGCTATTAGAAATTATTATTGTCAGAATAAGAAAAGAACACTTGGGAAGAATATAAAAATCTATGATACTCTTTCATAGCTTCTTATATTATTTTAAAGCTATTTGATAGTAATATTTATCCTGCTTTATTCTTTAAAAAATTGTAAATTGAACTGTAAGCTTTTGAATTTTAAGGCACCCAGCATGTCCATTATGCCAGTTCGATAAGAACTAGTCAAAAGCTTGAGTTTAGACAGAAGAAATCATCAGCATTATAGTAAAGCAAGTTATCTTTGCTTACTACTTCTGTGTAAGGACTTTTCCCTAAAGACAAGGACCTGATGAAGAAGATACTATACACATTTTCTGCAACCATGAGTTAGTTACTCCTTTAACAAACACCTGATGGTGCATCTGATACATGCCAGGCCCTGCTCTCCAAGGTGGCCGTGGTGCAGTTCTTTGCTCAGTGCAGAGTCTGGTAGGATCTAGTTGACTTCAGGCAGAGCAAACTCCTGCCTACGCCTGTAAGCTGAGTAGTTTGACATTTTTAAAGACAGGTTAAAAAAAGTAGCAGCAAAAATATGCAAGGGACCAAATGTGGCCTAGAAAGCTCAAGCTCCTGCATTCCTGGCTCTTTATAGAACAGTTCCCAGGGTTTCTGTTCCTTTTGACACTGTTTGTCTGTTACCTTCTCCTAATGCTCCCTCTTGAGACTGTGTGCACCACTTACCATTAGGCTGACAACATGGGAATGCTTTATTTTATAAGAAATCCAGGTGGCAGCATGTGTTCTCTGTGCCTTGGGGACAGAAAGGCTCTGCAAACATGCTGCTTATGTACTTTTAGTAAGGCCAGCAGGGGGCAGAAGGCAACATAAATCGGGAAAGTTGCTGTGGTTGAAAAGGTTGGAGAATAGTAATTTTGCACCAAATTAGGTAAGAGTCTGAAGCTTGTGAATTTATAAGCATCATATCCAAATGAGCTAAAGATAAAAATATACTGTCTATCCACATTTTCAGAAATTTAAGTTTTTATAACAACAATGTATTTTAAAATGGCATCACTCGGGGCCCTGGGCTCAGTGGCACCAGTGTCTACTCTGCCCTGTTGTTCTCTGGCCGAGTAAGGTTGGACCCACATCTGCTTATGTACATGGTTATTCAGCAGCCTTAACTGCAGAATTGGCAGTTTTATGATTAAGTCTTCATGTGAAAATATTAAGTAATGTGCTTTAATTGCTGGATAAAATTTTTGGTTCCTGACTTGTTTTCCTTTTGTCCCACAGCAACACCTTGCGAGTTACCCGCTCTGCTGCCCCCAGCACACTGGACAGTTCCAGTAGCGTCCCTACTCATCTCGGAAAGAAAGGCAAAGAGTTCGAGTTCTCACAGCTGCCCCTCAAGGTGGAGTTCCTTGAGTGCAGTGCCAAGGGCGGGAGAGCGGATGTGGGCTCTGCTGACATCCAGGACTTGGAGAAGTGGCTGGCTAAGATTGCCTGAGAGGCAGCTCCAGAGCACCAGCCCTGGTGTGCGTGAACGGCAGTACTGGAAAAAGCTGTGGTTGTCTGGAGTTGATAAAGGGTACAAAGTGTAGTTAGGAACATTCCCTTGTTCTAGAAACAAGTGACTGTTCACACCTGCGTGGAAGTTTTTTTTTCAAGTTCCTTTCTCTGTTATTGCTCCCTTTCAAACAAATCACTTGGATTTGACTCTCGTCTTGCCCGTATTAAATGTCCCTTTAGCATGAGCTTGATTTAAGGTCAAGGTCTTTGTGACATACCAAGCAGATGCCGCATAGAGGACCCTGTTACGATGTGTGTTTAGTGTCTGAAAAGTTTTTTCTCATCCTTGGCTTCTGTGCTTTGGTCTCTTTCCTGGAAATAAACCATGTGTTTATGAAGCTAGTTGATTTCCAGTTGCCCCTGCCATGCCTGGGCAATACATTGTCTGGTCAGTGAATTCTCTGGCTTATGGGTAGAGGTAGTTTTCCCAGGTGTGAAAACCAGTATAAAAGAACAAGGGAGAGCTGCCAGTGGCCTCTTTGTCTGCTCCCTGACGCGTCCTCACTCCAGCTTCAGCTTGTGTCGGAAGGCTCGACAGGAGCCCTTGGTGTCCCTGGGTGACAGAATTATAAATGCTGAGTCCCCAAAGCCTCTCCTGTGTTCCGGTGGTTTGCTGGGGTGTGGAAGCTCTAGAAGCCCTTCAGCCTCTGCAGTGGGCCTAGGTTCTTGGCTCTCCATTTGCTGCCCAATCAGCTCCTGTTTTGTACCCTTAACTAGAATGCTGTGGAACAAAAAATATAAAAAGGTATTTTTGTAGACTTCAGGGGTGTGTATTCATGCTTTTAAAAAAAGTTGCCTTTCCAAAGTAATGTTCTGTCGGGCTGGGGATTTAGCTCAGCGGCAAAGCGCCTGCCTGGCAAGCGCAAGGTCGTGAGTTCGGTTCCCGGTACCGGAGAAAAACAAAAACAAAAACAAAAAATCAAAGTAATGTTCTGTCTTAAATATTTGGCTTCTTCATTGCTTTTGTAAGTGGTTAATACCTTTCTTGATAAATAAAGCAGGCTTTTGGTTTTTGAGATAGGATCTTGCCATGTAGCCCAGACTGGCCTTGAATTTCTGTCATTCCTCCTGCTTCAGCCTCCCAGGTGCTAGGATTACAGGCTGGTGCCACCATGTGTGGCTCATACTGTGCACTTTAAGCAGAGTATTCATAAGTGTCCCCTTCACATCCGTATCTAGGGAACCCCAAAAATATTTCTTTAGCCTGGCAAAGACCAGGTCTCCTGGGCAGTTGTGTCAACACCATGCCAGTGAGAACATCCACTCCTTTGGCGGCGTGCAGGCTTGTTCTCCTGAACACTGTAATTGTGCAAGGACTGCTTGTCTTGCAACACCTTTGGTCTGGCCTTCATCTGGCCCATGAAGGGTCTACTCTGGCTCTCACCCCTTTGCCCGCTCTGCCTCACACTTTATAATTGGAAGACAGAAAAAAAGTAAAGCTTAGTGGGCAAGGACATCATTTCCCCTTCTGCCTAGCGTCTCCCCTCCCCTCAGCCTTTCGGCAGACGAGATTCCGGGAATGTGGGTAGGTGTAATCTCACTAGTGTGGCCGACCTCACTCCTTCAAAGTTGGTGAAGACTCAGGCGAGTAGAGGATACAAAGGGCCTTGAGTAGGGGACACACCACCCAGACACCAGGGAGGGTCTCCGCAGCATGCATTTGAAGACGCGTTTTTGAACACGTAGGATTGCACCACTTAAAAACATCAGACAAGACAGGCTTTGTGTTGAGAATTAGGACAGTTTATTGTTTGACCAACATGCTGAGTCTTTTCCACATTTTACACAGTTTAATGTAAAGTCAACATGGCTGATACACCTTCTGAGCCCGTAAGAGATGGAAATGCCACCCTCTGTGCTCCTCACAGCCAGTCACTTTCAAGGGATGGGTGAGGGGAAAAGTGAGGGGAGAAGTGGACACACCATGAGGTGTGGGCTGGCCTTCAGTGCTGAGGAGGCCTGCTTCCTCAAAGGACACCCAAACGCCTGTGGCAGGGTGTTCCTGATAAGATGCCCTGCTGCGAGTGTCAACCAAACATATTTGAAGCCCAGGAAGTTCAGATACTGAGACCCCTAGATTTTAGAATAGTTGCGGTATCTGGTTTCAAATTCTAAGGGTGTCCTGATCTGTGTGGGTACCTAAGACCACTGAAGTAGACTTGGGGACCAGCTCTCTTTGCAGTAGAGGAGCCCAAAGTGGACCTGTATTCTCTCCTAGCTCACTCAATACATGCTGGGAAGAAGCTTCTGTCCTGACCAGATTAGAGATGGCCTGAGGGACT